CAAGTGATCGATAAAGCAGTCGTTGTATCTAATCGGAGCTTCTACCTCCGATTTGTGCTAATCAGACATTGAACAACCGGCCCTGAGTAAAGCTTTGGTTTCCTCGAAAGCGGTAACGTTAAATAACGCTCCTGCCCCTAATCGAAATGCAGAAAATGGCTGATTAATTTTTTCGAAGACTGCGCACTGCTTAATGCTGCTCAAATTAATTTACTGTTGACACGAGTGTGCAGGCACGAGTGCGTGACACGACGCGTTACGAGTACAACATCAGTGTTTCTTTTTATATATCAGTGTTTGTATTATAACTTTGTTCGCATAACGGTTGCTTGTAGCAGCCTAAAGGAATCGAGATAGATATAGACAAATGTATACATAAATGATCATAATGAAAAGAGAAGTCGATGAAGCCATATTTGTCTGTCCGCCCGTCTGTCCGTGTACACGATAACTCGAGAAAAAATTGAGGTATCTCAACGTAATTTGGTATATAAGGTACCCTTTATCCAAGGTAGGTTGCTATTGAAAATGGGTGAAATCGGACTGTAACCACGCCCCCTTCTCAATAACGGTATTTTCGAAAAATGCACAAGCTATGATATTTCAGTAAATATTTGATCCAAATTGTTGAAAATTATTATACAAAGTAGAATTTCGGTACAAAATAATACTGTTATGAAGTTTTTGGAAAAGGGGCGTGACCCCGCCCACTTATAATGAAATACTGTATTTTATAGCCGCTTCACCAAACCGCTGTACCGAAGTCGGTACGAGCCTTGCTTAGAATCCAGCTAAGAAATTCGCTGGAAATCATTGAAATCGGAAATAACCACGCCCACTTCCCATATAACGGTAATATACAGAAACACGAAAACTGCGATAAATCAGTAACTAATGAAGCTAATTGACTCAAAATCGACTATTTCAAACACCACTGAGCAAACAATTATTATAAATTTTTGGATTTTGGGCGTGGCGCCGCCCACTTATGACAACAAATCGTTGGCTTAGTTCGCAAACGTGCTAAGTCCATTTTTTTTTATTTTTCAGGAGGGACAAAAAACCGTCTAACTTTTTTTGTTGTCAATATTTTTCTATTCTGTAAATGCAGTTTTATTCCTTAGTTCGTCTTGTTTTAGTACCAATAATCGGCCAATTTCAAAATAAAGCTGTTGCAGACTTATAGGCCCTTTTAGGACTTACTACATTTTCTCTTTAAGATTTTATTCTTTTAATGTGGACTTAGCACATTTTCTATCAACCTTTTTTCCATTATTTTTTATTGTTAAAAGATTTAATTGTTTACTTTAAATATATTTTATTGTTTTAAAATGAATTATAACCTAATACAGTTTTATTTCATTGCTATTAACAAAAATAACTATTTTAAGTCGTAAATTTATGTACCATTTATAAATGAAAATAATTGAAAGCAAGTAAAGAGGTAAAGTTTGGGCGAAACCCGGCGCAGGTATCAAATACTGTCGTAAGCAGGGTCTTTTTCCCGATTTCAAACGTTTTCGATAATATCCTGAGTTAAACTCCATAAAATAATTGAACCACGTTTAGTAGAAATCGCTAAAGTGGCTACCGAAATACACCTTGTAGTCATAAATTGGGCGGTGTCACGCAGTCTTATTTATTGTTAAGAGATTAAGAGATCTGAAATTTATCGTTAGATATACGGGAAGCGAATGTAATTTTGGTCCGATTTGAATAATTTTCAACGAATTGCTTTTCCGTACCAGGTTTATTAAGTGAACAGAGTTTGGTAGAAATTGATAAATCGGTTACCGAGTTACAAATTTGTGGTCATAAGTGGGCGGCGCCATGCCCATTCCATCCAAAAATGTATCATAATCTAATTTTCTGCTGAGTGGTTATCGCGATCATCGATTTTAAGTGAATTAGATTTTCAACAGATTTCTTAGCTAGACCCTAAATAAGGCTCGTACCGAGTTTGGTGAATGNGATAAATCGGTTACCGAGTTACAAATTTGTGGTCATAAGTGGGCGGCGCCATGCCCATTCCATCCAAAAATGTATCATAATCTAATTTTCTGCTGAGTGGTTATCGCGATCATCGATTTTAAGTGAATTAGATTTTCAACAGATTTCTTAGCTAGACCCTAAATAAGGCTCGTACCGATATTGGTGAATGGGCTACTGATATGCAGCATTTCATAATAGGTGGGCGGGGTCACGCCCATTTTCCAAAAATTGCACAATAATATTTTTTACAAAAAATCTACTTCACATACTAATTTTGAAAAATTTGCATCCAATATTTACTGAAATATCGTAGTTTTTGCATCGTTAGAAAATACCTTTATATCGGAAATGGGCGTGGTTACATTCAGATTCGCCCATTTTTATGGAAATTATTAAAAAGTGGATAATTGCATTAAAATTTAATAAATATGAGCGTTTTAACTATAAAATATGACGAAATTGTATTAAGTCTCTGTGTGCATACACAAAACACATTCCAGGAAAAGAAAAGAAGAGATATTACTGGAAAATTACGTCTAGAAATGTTGCAGCACAGTCTATATTTAAAAAATTGCAGGTTTTTGTAAATATTTCGCGAAAATATCAACCAAAAAAAACAGAAAATACCAGCTCCAAGTGAATTTTTAGACGCCAAATGAATTGAAATATCACGACCAAGTGTGCAGAAGTGTAATCGTCATGTAATCGTTGCTTCATGACGATAACTATGACTCAACTATGATTGGACGACCAATGAGCAGAAAGCCTTACCTTGGATAAAGGGCAACCTACATACCAAATTTCGTTGAGATATCTCGAGTTATCGTGTACACGGACAGACGTGTATATATATTTTTTTGATTTTTTTTTGGACTTAGCACATATGCGTACCAATGCATAACAACAAGTAAAAACGACACTACGGTAATTTTCTTTTTTGGTAATGATGTATTTTCAGTTATGCTATCTTACTGCATCAAAATCTCAATTTACATAAAAAGTGGACTTAGCACGTTTGCGTACTAAGCCAACGAAATGTGTATCTCGGTAACCGATTTATCAATTTTTACCAAACTTGGTGTATTTAATAACCTTGGTACGAAAAAGCAATTCGTTGAAAATTATTCAAATCGTACTAATATTGCAACGGTTTCCCGTATAAAGGTAATTTTTGGATATATGTACGAAAGCTGCTATATTACAGTAACTGAGGTCGTTAATTTACTTCAAGTTAATACTTACAACAATCTCTTAACATTAAATAAGACTGCTAAAAACTGTTAGGTAGTTAAAGAAAGTTGGAACAACAATAGTTGATACCTGCGTCGGGTATATAAAATTTGATTTCGCCCGAGCTTATACTTCTTTACTTGTTAATATTAAAATTCCATTTAATTTAATTATTAACTTTTGAATTAATAAATAATTTGTTAACTAAGTGCGAATAATTCGTTGAATTCAATTAATCGGGCAGAGCGTTAATTGTCCATAAGTTAAAAAGGGATGATCGAGCAATATCCCTAGACGGCAGCGATATACAACATCTAATGTAAATTTGTCATTCGCGAGAAAAGTATGAACGTATAATATCCTCTAATTGCGAAGAACGATACAAAGGAAAATTGTGAACTAATATTCAAGAACATAAACGGTATAGTCCAGAATCCCATGAGTCCCGAGCCCTTTTTGGAGTCCCGAAATCCCGGGATCTAGCCCTCGGGATCCCGGGATATAATTTAATTTACTACCAAATTAAAACAAAACGACATCCAGAAACTGTAATGGCATAAAAGAATTATAAAATGCAATCCTAACAATAACCAAAAAAAATTACAATTCTAACACTACTATTATTCTACCTTATAATATTTATACCATATATATGGGGCATTCTTTTTCATATCGGACACCAAATTCCGATTGGCTGCACATTTTTCCTTTTTTCTGCGGATATATGATCTGTAAAATTTTTGATTTTTTCGTGATTCTGACTAAATAATCATGTACTTCTTTAAATTGTTATATCTCGGGTTCTGTTTTTCGTAGATATTTCATTGTTGACTCTCACAAAATAAACCACCTCGTCATAAAGAAAAAATATTTTAAAAATAGTTCTTAAAAAACTCCAAATTTTTGGAACATGTTCTTTATAGAGAATTAGGTTGGCGAAAATCCTCCTAGATATATCCTCCAAGCGGGTGCCGACTGGGCAATGGGCATCGTTGCTTACACCGCTGTGGCAAGGTAGGCTTGTTCCTATGGCTGCAGTGGTGCAAGCAGGCGGGGCCTAGCCAAGGCCGAGGTATAAACTCCCCTGCCTCATCTAGGTCTAGTGGTAGGCCGTACGGGCTCGTCCGAGGGGGGCTGGGGTGGGCATACTTAGGCTATTTCTAGGGGGTACCTGGCGGTAGGTATAAAACGCCCCCCTAATCCAGGGTGTCATGCGTCACCGTGCCCATTGGATGGTTTGCAGTCAGGGGGTTTTTCCGACTGTATTCTAACGGCGCCTCCCGGATACCTGTCCGCCTCCGGGAGTAACGGTGGACTTACCTCAGCATGGGGCTCTGCTGAGGCCGACCGTTTTTCCCCTTACCCATATATTCGGTCGCCGAACGGTTTCGGCTCAGTAGGCGACCAACGAACCAGAAATAATGAACTCAAAAAATGTAGCCCCGGATCCCTGCACGGGTAAAAATGCCGCCGACGGACACGGCGTTAAAGTCTGTCTAAAAACGACATCTTCGGTAGCCGCTGGAGCGGTCCCGAAGGAGCCTAAACGGCTAACAATACTAAATGTTGCGCCCGGCGTCAGTAGCAACAAACCCCTGGTGGGTAGTGGTCAACTGGCGTCTGGGTTGCAAGCGGAGCCTGCACGGCCAATTGACCTCTCGTGCCAGTCGTCCACATCTCTGGAAGCTGCGAGTACACCCCTTGAGGGCAGCTCCAAAGCGGCGCCGGGAGAAGGCGATACTGGCACCCAGAAGTCCTGCACGGACAGCACCACCGACCGCAAGCCCCTTGAGGGTAAGAAGTCGGATCAACGCAAAGGCGTCCCAGGTCCCAGTGGTTCGAGGACCAAAAAAGAAGTCCGACCAGCAGTCAGGGCGAAAAGGGACAGAAGAGCCGCTTCTAGACTACTGAGGAAGTTCGGCAATGACCCGGTTCCCGAGAGTATGAGGGAAGTGGTTGAGAGGGCGAGGGGCGTTCTCTCCGAAAGTCGTGAGCGACCTCAGGAAGGAAATGCCGCCAACAAACCTGCACCCACTCACTCTCGTCCTAGGGAGCTGGGCAGCAAAAGGCAACGGTCAGCAGACAACGTGGATGCTGCTCCTAAGAGGCCCAAAACCTCTAACGCTAACAGCCCTCTTAACCCTCCAAGGGCTCTGAGGGCTTTCAGTGATGTGGCCAAGGACCACTTGATCCTGGCAGTTATGGATAGGGGGCACCCGGAAGGAAACCTGACGGCCGACAACTGGAGGTCCGTCCTGGTGGGTCTCTGCCGGGTGTACAAGGAGATTCTCCGGAAAAATCCTGGCCCTGCGCCAACTGTCCGCGATGCTGGTCTCTACCAAGGCCGCATCAAATTAGTTTCCTGCGCTGATGAACGGTCGGCGCGACTTTATAAGGAAGCAATTTCTTCTCTTGGGGAACTGTGGCCCAGCGCTGACTTGGTGGCAGTGCACAGGGATGAAATCCCTTGTAAGCCGCGAGCCAGAGCCTGGGTCCCAGAGGAACCCTCGAGTCCTGAGGAGATTCTGGATATCATCCAGGTCTCAAATGATGCACTACCAGCCCTTGATTGGAAAGTAGTGAAGGTCAGCGAGGTTAGGGAGCAGCAACGTTACATCACCTTGGTGATAAACGAGGAGTCTCTCCCGATCCTTGCTGACTGCAAGGGAGTAATTAGCTACGGCTTTTACTCCATTACCCTCAAAACCCAAAAAGGGAATGAGGGTAAAATGATAGAGCCGGGGAACACCGAGGGTGAACCCGAGGCTGGCAATCTTCCGCCTAAAGGCGGCCCTATATCTGGAGCAGAAAACGCCTTGAGCGGTCCTGCTTCTAACCAAGAGGTCCAGGAGGTTCTCGAGGCCACTTGCCCGGTGGTGAGGTCAGACTCGGCAGCGGAAACAGATAGCGATACGCAATCTGTTTCTGGTGACGGATCGGTACTTAACCGGTGGACGAGGGAGTTCGGGAACCTGCTTCTGACGTCGGACTCAGAGGACGCCGATGATACCATCGTTGAGGCGTTCGATAGAACCCCGCCAGAAGTGATGGACGGGGACGATATTTTATAAGCTGTGGATGAAGGTTCTACAAATAAACCTTCATCACTCTAAAGCAGCTTCTGCAGCTCTGCTCCTGCACCTCAGTGATAGAGGGGAGGAGCTAGTTTTTGTCCAGGAGCCCTGGGTTGTTAAGCACAGGGTTTGTGGACTTAATTCTGATGCTTACCGCATAGTGTCGGCACCTGTGGCAGGTAAGATCAGGGCATGTATATTAATCAAAAAAAGTATTTCTTATAATTTACTCACACAGTTCAGCGATGAAGATACGGTGAGCATCTCTGTGGAAAGCCAATCCACAACACTCTGGCTGGTCAGTACATACATGGCCTACGATCGCCAAGACTGCCCTCCCGCTCGGTTACTGGACGTGGTGAAAGAGGCCAACTCGAGGAAGTTTCCCATAGTCATAGGAGCCGATGCAAATGCGCATCACGCGGTATGGGGATCTACCGACATCAACCCGAGGGGTGAGTTGTTACTTGATTTTATATTATTATATAATCTAGCCATCTGTAATATTGGTGATAAACCCACTTTTGTAACCTCAAATAGGAAGGAGGTATTAGATATTACCTTATCGTCTAGCGCTTTCTTTGAGAGTATTAGGGAGTGGAAGGTACTGAGCGACCATTCATTCTCTGATCACATGTATCTCTCATTTGTAATCTCCTTTGAACTTCCGGCCTCGGCCGCTTACAGAAACAAGAGACGTACTGACTGGACTAAGTTTAGGAAAGTACTCTCGGGGAATTTGCTCAACAAGGCTTCTCTCAGTAAGCTAGGCTTACTGTCCCCACCTGATGAAGCGGAGCTTTCTCTCGCAAACCTTGCTTCTCTCGGTGAGTTAGGCTCATCGGAACAAATTGAAGAAGCCGTTGATTGCATTACCGAAGCCTGTAATTCGGCCTTATCTGCTTCCTGCCCACTTGTACTTCCGAGAGGAAAGAAGAAGCCACACTGGTGGAGCAAAGAAATCGCCTCTCTAAGGAAGGAAAGCAGGATACTCTTTAATGCGGCAAAGCGCGATGGTTCTTGGGCTGCATATAAGGCAGCCCTGAAGAAATTTAAAAATGCCACCAGGAAAGCCCAAAGGGACTCCTGGAAGGATTACTGCGATAGCATAGAGGGTCAGTCGGAGGGAAATCGCCTGCGAAAGGTGCTTGCGAAAAGTCCGACGAACCCGATGTATATTCAGAAACCAAATGGTGACTGGACGTCATCTCGTGAGGAAATGCTTGAAGTCCTAATGAACGCGCATTTTCCAGGATGTACTGCGGAGCCCAACACCGCGGCTATTATCTCTGAACGGCCGTTGACTTCAGCGGACTTCATTGATGTACAAAGGGTAGACTGGGCCATAAAGTCCTTCCAGCCCTACAAATCTCCAGGTATGGATGGTATCTTCCCTGCCCAACTTCAGTCAGCATCTGACGTGTTATGTCCGATACTTGTCTTAATCTATAAGGCTTGTATCAAGCTTAGTTTCATACCCAAGGGTTGGACCCTGGCGAAAGTTGTTTTTATTCCCAAGGGAGGTAGACCCTCCCACGTTAAACCAAGTGACTTTCGACCGATAAGCCTTACTTCTTTCTTTCTCAAGGTTCTGGAAAGACTTGTAGACTTGCAGATCCGACAGGAAATTGATGTAAATAATCTCTCTAGCTGTCAACACGCCTACTGGAAAGGTAGATCTGTGGATACAGCTTTGCATAGTATTGTCAGCACCATTGAAAAGACTCTCGCTTTTAAGGAATTTGCACTAGGCGTGTTCCTGGACATCGAGGGTGCCTTCAATAATGTTCTCCCGGGAGCGGTCCTTCAAGCCCTAGCTCGCCTTGGGCTGGATCACCCTATGGTTGAGTTTGTTCGTCGCCTCTTAGGCAGTAGAACTATTTACTCGGAGATGGGGGAGGTATCTATAACAAGATATGCGAGTCGCGGAACCCCACAAGGCGGTGTTCTCTCCCCACTTCTTTGGAATCTAACTGTGGATACCCTGCTGTCACGGTTGCAAGGCACAGGTTGCCAAGTCATTGCTTACGCGGATGATCTTGCCCTGACGGCAATTGGTAAGCACCCCCAAGTTCTATGTGACTTAGTTCAAGGCGCCTTACGCGTCGTGGATACCTGGTCCAAAGAAGTAGGACTTAGTGTCAATCCGGCAAAAACGGCCATGGTTCTGTTTTCAAAGAAAACGAAAGCTGTCCGGCTACAACCTCCTTCCTTGAACGGTATCGTACTGACTTTCTTTGAGGAGGTTAGATATCTGGGCGTTATTCTTGACAGAAAGTTAACTTGGCGGCGCAATATAGAAGAGCGCTGCAAGAAAGCTATAACTGCTATGTATGCCTGTAAATCGGCGATTGGGAAAAAATGGGGATTGAAGCCTCATATTGTGAACTGGATGTACACAGCGGTTGTGCGTCCCATTCTATTCTACGGCATAACGGTTTGGTGGCCGTCCGTAGATAAATCTACAATAAGAAACAAATTAACAGCGGTCCAAAGGGTGGCGTGCATGATGATCACGGGAGCGTTACCATCGACGCCGACTAAAGCCCTAGAGACCTTGCTTCACTTGCTACCTGTGGACCTATATGGTAAACTACAGGCAAGCTGTAATGCTATTAGATTAAATGCGCTAATCAAATGGAGTGACACGAGGTTTGGGCACTCTAGGATCTTGGAAAATCTTCCAGATGACTTTAGGCGCCTGGACTACACAGTCCCGTCTACGGGACTAAAGAATTATTTCCGGACAAGGATCCCCTCAAGGGAAGAATGGGAGGAGGATTCGGTCCTGATATCGTATTCTGACTCAACAGCCATCTACACTGATGGCTCCAAGTTGGATCTGAAGGTAGGAAGTGGGGTATACTCGCAAGAACTCTCACTTAGCCTCAGTTTCCGTCTGCCAGATCTATGCAGCGTTTTTCAGGCTGAACTAACAGCAATAAATGAAGCTGCAAGTTGGCTGATCGATTCTCTAATTAATCTGAAGGCGGTAACAATCTTATCTGACAGCCAAGCGGCTATTAAAGCACTTAATAGTGACAAATCTACGTCGAAGGTTGTCTTGGAATGTAGACGTACTCTTAATGAACTGGCAAGGTGTTACGTCACTAATGTTGTGTGGGTGCCAGGCCACAAAGATATACCAGGAAACTGTACTGCAGATGAACTAGCAAGGATAGGAACCTTGTTGCCTGCAATCAGTACAGCCCGTAATGCGGGCATTCCGCTATCTTCTTGCAAGCTCTGGCTTGAGAATAACTTCGTCGGACAGGCTAATATAAGATGGTCTGCGGAGCCTACTTGCAGGATAGCAAGACATATCTGGCCTAAGCTTGACAAGCGTAGATCTCACCCTCTTCTCCACTTGGAGCGACCACTGTTGCGGCATGTTATTGGAGTTCTCACCGGGCATTGCCTGATGGGAATCCACGCCACTAGAATGGGTTTGCAGTCAAACGACTACTGTCGTAGCTGCCGCGATGAGGAGGAAATCGAAAGCGTGGAGCACTACTTATGCCACTGTCCTGCTCTGGCTAGAGCTCGCCGATGCTCGTTCCTCCATTATTCTTTTGAATGTCTGGCCGAACTGGATTCAGCCAGTGTCTATGACTTTGTGCGCTTCATCAGAGCAACGAAGTGGTTCCACTACTAGGGTAAGAGGAGGGACATATGGAGTCTCTTATACGGCATCACAACGGGCCCTTGGTGGCCTAAGTGTGCCCTTTTCCTGAGGGATTAGGGCAGCCGAGTTAACCTAACCTAACCTTATAGAGAATTAAACAAGGATTACGACGATGTTATTTTAAATCCCAAATTTATTGGTCTTTATTATGCAAATCAACTTAACCCGCATCCATCGTGTGTATCAAACTGATGCAAAATTCGAAAACATATTAGAATATTAGGAAAAGTATTTAATGTTTTGAATTGGTTTTTTGCGACAAATGCGTATAGATCTTTCAAGCATTTTTATTCTTATTATCAGAAAATGAATAAACGTTGGTCATTAATAAAAAAATTAAAAAAAAAAACCAACATTTCATTGGATACTTGGGTCTTTTTCCATATGTATCAAATTGATGCACAACGTACTTTGTGTTTCAAAAAATTTCCGATGGATGCGGGTTAAAAAAGTTCAACTGTTAATAGCTAAGTCTACTTTAGGACAATCATAACCATCGTATAGAAAGCTCGTTTCTTATTCTTCAAAACGACGTTAACATGAAGTCTCTATGATGAGTAGGGCCCGAGATATACGATTTGAAAACGTACATGAATGGTTAGAATCACGAAAAAATTCCATATATATATATCATATCTCCACAGAAAAATAAAAATTCCTCGAATACGTGTTAGCTTATTTCATGTATAATAATAATAATATATTCGCGCTTACACATATGTTAGTGTTTGGCCGAGCTTCTCCTCCGACTTGTGGCGTGCGCCTTGATGTTGTCACACAAATCGGAGGGACCTACAGTTTTACGCCGACTCCGAACGGCGATTGTATTTTTATGAGAAGCTTTTCATGGCAGAAATACACTCGGAGGTTTGCCATTGCCTGCCGAGGGACGACCGCTGTCAAGAAAACCCTTTTTTCTATATTTTTATTGCGATGTTGCTTTGACCAGGGCTTGAACCAAGGTGCTGCAGAGTGGAAGCGCGCACTGCTTACCACTACGCTACAGCGACCGATGTATAAAACCCATAAAACAATTTGAAGCGAATCGGAGACATGACATCATTGTTTTTTACGAAATCCGTCCGACTTGTATATATGAGTATATACATGAGTATATATACATATGTTGTGGCACACTAGTATTACTACTACTAATATATGTATATGTAATTACAAATACTATATGTGGGTGTAAAGATGATCTCTTTATTTTTATTTTTGTAAGAATGACTGCGACTGCAATGCGAATGAATTTCAATTCCATAGTTTTTAGTTTATTCAGTTTGTAATTAGCTTTGTAAACTGATATAAAATAAAGATATTTATAGTTCTTTTCTTAAAAACACATTTATTTGTTTCTAGTATTCGCACTAAAGAAAGGCTACAAAACTAGTTTGTTAGCATATTTTAATTGATGGTAATAATATCCCGAAACATCCCGGGATTCACAAAATGGTCCGGGATTGGATGCCTTAGTGCGGACGTGATCGAATTTACTCAAACGAATGTGCAATGTCAAATAAACGAGTTACGCGAAATGTTTAGCTCGGTGCTAAACATAAATACGCCACTTAGTGCTAATGCGAGTATTTCAAACTCTCATGCGGAACAAACACGCTTAGGGTCACCAAGTACAAGTGCAAATAAAAGTAATTATTCTGTAAAAGAAATTGCAGAGACGATACCGGACTTCGATCCAACGAACGATTCGTCAATCACCGTCGAGCAATTCGTAGACAGAGTGAATGGTTCTATCAGTGGCTATAAGTGGGAAGAAAAGGGCTTGTTGTTGGCTGTATATAGTCGACTCAAAGGCGCCGCAAAACTTTGGTTCAATTTGGCAGACAAATTGTACTCCAATTGGAATGAACTATCACAAAGTTTGTGCGAAGGGTTCAGCTGTATTCCAGATGAAGCTGACATACACTACAAAATGAGTGTGTGGATTGCGACAAACTGAATCCTAATAAAATTATAGTTTAAAAAACTAAAACCTCGCTATTATAATTTCCATTCGTACTCTCATCAGGTATGTAACTTGAGAATAGAAATCGCTGCATCTTTTAGGCGCATCAATATTACATAGTTACATCCCGAGCTAATAAAAGGGAAGTAAAAATGAACCCGAAAATTTCGGAAAAAAGAAAATGGAAGTAAGAAAAACAAATGCACAGCGAGAAATAATAACGAATAACATTTTTGAGCTATGTGTTGTTGTAAACGGGCAAAAATTGATGGCATTTATTGACACGAGTAATGAGTGCAACATGGTCAGAGCTACGGTAGCAAACAAGTTACGCGCACGCAAAAATTTGTGTTCAATTACAAATTGAAAACTTAAAGCGATTCGTTACTCTGTTTGTGGTAGACGACGAACTTTTAACGGCGGATGTACTATTTATTTGGTCAGGGCCTTTTTAATGACATGCGGGCCGTTATCGTAGATGGTCGTATCACGTTTGCGAGCGATAATAAATTTAATATCGACGATTTCAAGTGCGGTACTGACGATTTACGTGTTAAAAATGATTTGGTTGAACTGTTGTACAACTACGGCGATATTTTCGCAACAAATATCCATGAAATAGG